CTCGAACAGCCATGTGGGAATCCAGAGCCCCTAATATTGATATTAGCACTATTTTAATGTTAATCAGTCTTTCATAATATTATTTGTGCTTTAAAAAAAAAACCAACAACACTGGGACCAGCAGTTAGCGTAATGGCTATGTCGCTGGACTCCCACGTAGTCGACCGCGGTTCGAGTCTCTGACCCGGTGGCTTAAACTCACGTCGGGTGCTTGTGCGTGCGTGCCCAAGATCCCGAGAGGAGGATGGAGGAGAAAGGATTGCGGCGTGGCCATGCCCTCTGGGGGGTGATTTCTCGCTTTCTGTCTCTCTGTCTCTGTCTCTGTCTGAACGCATGCGCCCTATAGCAAAAACCTCTCAAAAAAAAAAAAAAAAGAAAACACTTTTTTCAAAGATTTTTCTGTTCTGTCTCAACTCCCATAGTTTCACCCACTTTTTTTAAAAAAATGATTTTATTTAACTTTATTTACTTAACTTAATTTGACCAAGGAAGGGGGAGAGAGAGAAAAAGTGTGAAAGTAAACCACCAGGTCCTGGACTCGAACTGCAGTCGGCCATGTGGGACTACCACGCCACCTGCCAGCTTCTCCACTCATTTTTAATTTGTGTCCTTTCTTTTAGCTTTCTTTTCTTTCTTTCTTTCTTTCTTTTTTTTTTTTTGTCTATTCATTCTTTTACCTTTTTGGTATGCATGTGGGGGCTTACTATTACTCATGTCCTAATATATTGAGTTGGGTGATGACCTTGTTTTTTTGTTTTTGACTTTTTTCTGTATTCATAATAGAGCATGTGTAGGCACATGGACAAAGTGAGCTGGAGTTAAAAAACTGCCCTCCGTGATCTGATGATGTTGCAGTACCCCTCTTCTAGTCCTTCAGCTTGTTCACTCATGAGTGTGCCTGGCATGTTTTTCTAGGCAGTGTACCTTGAGATTTGAACCTTGGTCACTATGTAGGATCCGGCTTCCTCTGAACAGTATTTTACTTCTACACCATAGAACCAGTCCAAGCTTTATTATTATTTTTTTAATTCACACATATTTTTAAGTTTTAAGGAAAGTTAGACATAGTACTTTTATTATCTGATATAAGAGTTTTTTTAATTTCTATTTTTAAAGGGAGATATTTAGAAGTATGTTTTAGAATTTCCAGATTGTGGATTTGGTTTTCCTTATTGTATGTTTTGCTTCTAAAATTGGTATCAGAAAATGTGATACTGATTCCTTGACATTGATTGAGATTCAGTTTCTGATCAGAAACGTAGTCACTTTTTGTAGTTGTTTTTGTGTCCCTGGGTAGAATATATACCCTATAACTGTCTATTTTCTGTATTCTGTATATTCAGTCTGTATTTTTTTCTAACTTGTCTTTACCAGTTACTAAAGAAAATGTGTTAAAGTCTCCTGCTATCATTATGAATTTGTCACTTTGTAATTCTGATAGCTATAAATATATTTAAAAGTTAAATATAGTTACAGTTTTGTATTGTTAGAACTTTTCAAAAGTTAAATATAGTTACAGTTTTGTATTGTTTCAGATTTTTAAAAACTTTTCATTATTTCGTATATAGTCACCATTTTAATGTCCCACTATGGTTTTTAACTTTATATCCATTTTGTTTAATATTAATATAGTATTGGTTCATTTGTTTTGTTGTTACTCGTATGTCTCCATTGATTACCTTTCTTTTTTTGGGGGGGAGAGGTTTTTGCCATACGGCGCGTGCGCTCACCAGACAGAGACAAAAAGCAAGAAACCACCCCCCAGGGGGGATGGCCACAGCCACGCTGCGATCCCTTCTCCTCCATTCTCCTCTCGGGATCTTGTGCATGCACACACATGCGCTCGGCGTGAGTTTAAGCCACCGGGTCCGGGACAAGAACCGCGGTCGACTACATGGGAGTCCAGTGACAAAGCCATGCTAACTGCTGGTCCCTCCATTGATTACTTTTCTTTGTTCTTATATTTCAGGTTCATTTCTTGTAAATTATCTCTAATGGGGTTTTTAAAGTTCTCAGCTATTTTGTTTTCATTGAAGAACCCATATTAATGTGACTCCTGATACAAATGTATAAATGCTAACAAGTGTTCTCTTTCTACCCTATTATTTTGTGTTTCCTAATTCATCCAGATTTTTTCAAGCACTCCCCCACTCTTTCTGTCCTTTTGAATCAATGGAGTTTTTCTTATTCTTGCCTCTTTTCATCCATTGAGTTGAAAGTTATGCGTTAAGAATATAGATATAATACACGGTGATCTATATTTTAGTACTCACTTTAACTGCATCGTTGATCACAGTTCAAGCTGGAACAGCATCCAGAACTTGCACTTAAATCATACACAATCCTCAATGTTATACATTATCTGCATTTTAAAATCGTTCTTACCCTTAAGTAGAGTAGCATTTTCCCCCCAGTAGTTTCCAGAACTCTTTAGGGAGCTGATGAATTTCTCTAGTTGTGATTAGTCATTTTATAGGAAGAATGAGTAGTATGCCTTTTCCTCTTCTTCCTTCATCTATGTGTATTTTCTAGCTTGCTAGAGCATGCTGCAAAATTTGTCACACAGGTCTATTTTTTTTCTTTTAATTGACTACTAAACTTTATGTTTTGGCTGGTTTATAAAAACATTAAGGGCCTTTGTAAGATTAGACTCTAGCTTTGTATTTAGGTTATTTTGCCTATTTTTTTCCTTTGTTGATAGTGGATTTTTGTTTCGTTTTTCCTTTTGAAATGTGGTTAATCTAGCTTGTTCTATGTCTGTTTTTGTTTTATATTTTAATTTCTGTGTATTTTTATAAAATAAGTTTATTATGTACTGGAATATTTAATCCACTTTCTTCCTTAAATATTGTTATCTGAGGTCTAGCCGTACATTAGAATAAAAAAGAAAGAACTTTAGTAATAGGGAACTTGATGGTTTGTTTTGTTTTGCTTTGCTTTGTTTTGTTTTGTTTGGAGAGGTTTTTGCTATAGGGCGTGTGTGCTCTCTAGGGACTGAAAGCAAGAAATCACCCCCCAGGGTGGGATGGCCACAATGCAATCCCTTCTCCTCCATTCTCCTCTTGGGATCTTGGGCATGCATGTACATGGCGCCTGGTGTGAGTTTAAGCCACCGTGTCTGGGACTCGACTTGTGGTCGACTACATGAGAGTCCAGCGACATAGCCCTTATGCCATCTGCTGGTCCTGAGGTTCTTCTTAAAATTTAAAATAAAATGTTCTGATGGTGTCAAAGAATGGTGGGAAACTAATTTGACTATTTGCAAAGTGTGATTCATACTCATTTTAGAATATGCATTATTCATGCAAAAAATGAAATGGAAGTAATGAAGAAAAGAAAAATCCAACACTTTGTTAATGCAGTTTGTTATAAAGACTGATGGTTTGCAAAATGTGGACCCTGGACCAGCAGTTGTGAATCACCTGTGAACTTATCGAAAATGCAGAATCACAGGTTCTATTTCATAGTTGTGGGGCCCAGCAATCTGTTTGGACAAGCTATCTAGGCGATTCTGATACTTTCCATTCTTAAAGTTTGGGAATCATTGGGTTACATATTAACATAGTATGGTATAAAGTAATTGATGTGTTTAGTTGGTGGCATGTACAATGTTAGTTATGTATTTTCAGAGACAGTATTAGAGATAAATAATTTGGGCCAAGCCACAACATCACAGAAGTAGTACAGTGCTCTGCTAAGCAGAAGCCAGATTAGAAGGTCCTGTGTTCACATGCCAGAGTTTTCCTATACCCTCTGGCACATTCATGTTTCACCTGGATCCTGACTAGCTGCAACTCTAGGGGTAGATTGTGGTATTGAAGACCTGGTTGGAGGTGTCTCTCCCTCTTTTTCTCTGAAGAAGTAAATAAATTTACACAAATATGTGATTGATAAGAAACATGAGAACATTACTCAGTTTTAACTTTGGTTAAATAGTTTTTATTTTAGATACAAGGAATTACATTTCTTCTATCAGTTGTTTTGTGAGCCAGCAGTCAGTTGAATCTACCTAACACTCATGATAGATAGATAGGTAGGCAGACAGACAGACATGTATTTATTTTTTTACTTACTTACTTATTTACTTACCAGAGTGAGTGCACACTCATCAGAGAGAGAGAGAGAGAAAAAAACATAGAGATAGGATAAAACACACTTCAGTTCAATGTACCTAACACTCATGATTGATATTTATTTATTTGCCAGAGCGAGTGCACACTCATCAGAGAGAGACAAAGAAACAGATAGGATAAAGCACACCTCAGTGGGACATTTCACAGTGCAGTCCTATCTCCATTTCTCCATTCCATTCAAATTTGGGGTCTGCATGCACCTGGTGTGTTTTTTAAGCTGCAGAGTCTGGGACTCAAACTGTGATTGACCTTGTGGGATCTAGCTCCTGTATCCACTTTTTTGATGTGAGTTTTAGTATGCTGAATATGCAAATAAGATACAGGGAAAATTAGTGACTCAAAATATTTTTAATTTAATACTGAAATTCTAATCCAACTTTGATGCACTTTAATTATTTACCCTTCCTCCTATACTGGCAACAGGTAATAGTTTTCAAATTGATTAAAAAAAAAAGAAGACTTTTTTTTGAGAGGATTTTTGCTATAGGGCATGTGCTTGTCAGAAAGAGAGACAGAGACAGAAAGCGAGAGAAATCAGCCCCCAAGGGGGATGGCCACACCGCAGTCTCCACTCCTTCATTCTCCTCTCGGGATCTTGGGCACGCACACACACGTGCCCGGCGTGAGTTTAAGTCACTGGGTCCGGGACTTGAACTGTGGTCGACTACATATTTAGAGTTGTTTTTTTTTTAAATGCTCTGTGGAATCACTCTACTATTGTATGTAGAGGTAATAGTAAATTGTTATTAACTAATGAATTAGTATTTGAAGAACTTTGTATGAAGATTTATATTATATGTGCATATAGTTTAAATCTTTAATTAATGTTAGTATTTTGTTATAATTCTTTTTATGCTTTTCTTTCAGGAGAGAAATCGAAACAAACAATAATCATACAGAGATGTCCTGTTAAAATTACAACACTAATGATATAGACTCTGGAAATGCCTAATAAGTCAAAGAAGACATTATTAAAGCTTTTTTTCTGCTTAAGGTGACATCTTTGAACACTTTAACACAAAATTGACTCTTCTTGTAATGGTTTTCATCAGCGCATCTGCCCTTATACTCTCACCAAACACACTTGAGAACTGTAACTTCGTCAAGCACTTTCTGTCCTGAAGCTTTTACCAGTATCTGCTGTCTTTTGTAATTATGCATCCTAGCTAAGGCACAGAAGACTGAATGAATGCAAGGATTCATTAACTCTTTGAATTTGTTAAATACTAACAGTTAACCATTAGAAGTGGTTCAATGATGTAAGAGTCACACTGCTTCAACTTTTTCTTTGTGTAGTTTTTAAATTGTCGATTTTTAGCTATTTGACAGATTAAAGCAAAATAATCATGCCATACTTAGTCCCAGAGTTCAAGTCTAAATGTTTATGTGAAAAATTATTGTAGTAAACTTTTAATATGGCAAAGCAACCTTACGCTCTATTTTAGCCAAATGAAACATAATCTGAAATTATATTAGAACATTTCCCTTGTCTTCAAACTGTTTGGTGTAACAGAATATTGATATGCAGCTTGGTGGATTTCACCAGTTAATGCACATTCTTCTCCCCTCCTTCCCCAATAATATGTATACTGAAAAATGTGCATTTGTCTGAGGAATTATTTTGTTTGCTACCACTTAATGAATCTCAAAATTTTGAGTAAATGTACCTCAGTCTAATCAGACTTTTTATGATCTTTATAACTACATTTAAAACCCTTAATTCCTATTTCTGGGTGTTTGCGAGCCTGATTGCTATCATGAAGTAAAAATTTACTACTCTAGGTATTCACTAGCTAAATAAACATAGTTCTTGTTTAGCAAGCATATACTGTTCCTCAACTCTTTTCTCCAGCTTTTGCAGTGTCCTGGCATCCTTAAAATACTTTGAAAATATGGCCTTGATCCATGGATTAAATCAGTATCTAAGTGAATGTGTTGATGTTTTATTGATCAGATCTATGTAAATGGGAATACAGCATATATCTGGGTATTCTTATAGTTATCTTTTTAACATCTTATTTTTTTCATTAATTACATATCAACATTAATTTTGTATCTTGAAACAAATTGATTTTGTATAATTAAATGTGTCAAGCATCTGTATTAATTGATTTGATGGCATAAGGTTATGAAAATAATGAACTGCCCCTTATATTACTGTTCTGAAAGGAGAAAGCTTTGTAGAGGATGTGTTAAGGGTGGAAATAGCAATACAGTAGGTTTGAACACCTTAATTGTTTTGCATTACTCCATTTATGTTTACATCATGTTAGAGAAGTTTTCATTTCCTATGGTCTTTCGTCACTTCAACTTCAACCTAGTGACATTTCTTTGAGGTTTTCGTTTATATAATTTTTTTTGTACAATGTTTTCTTAAAACATACAAATACTGTATTTCAGTGGAAAAAAATACAGCATTTGTAGATAATCGTAGCTACTTCACAGTTCTTTGGTAGTCCCAGTGTAGTTATATCAGTGTTTACTGAAGGGAACATCAAAATATTAATGGTATATTATAAAATAGACTTCCTTGAAGGAAAGTTGCACCTATTTTACCTTTTTAAGAGTAAGCCATGAAAACTTGTAACATGTCTCTTAAACTATTTATAATAACAACTGGCATTTGGGTGTAGTTACCACATAAGTAGGACATGTCGAAGATGACTGTCATTCTGGTGATCCTATTAGAGAAAACTGTAAAAGGGTGACCTTGTAGGAGGGATTGGAGTCCTTTCCCTGAGGTTCTCTTTTTCTTGGTGCTTTATTAGCAACTATGGATATTTTTATAAAACTAGTTACATTATAAATGGATCCAAACTTGTTTAATTTATATTAGGTTTCTATGTAAGAAGTATCACAGAATCACCCAGCAAGCAGGCTGATTGCAGTACATGTCAGATATTGTCGCGAATCTATTCATGGGGAGGAGTACAGCCCAGTGCCTTCCTGTAACCTGGATTTTTAATCTTAAGGGAAATGGGTGCAGCATTCCTTTGGGAAAAATCTTTTTCTTTTCAATTGGTGATTTTGTATTTTTCTCATTTAAGTTTTCTCAAGAGCACCTACCTTCTCTTCCTCTTGGTCTGTTATTGTATTGCAAGATGTTTTTCCTCTAGATGAAATTATTACAGGTTGTCTCGAGTACAACCAGCTGAATGCTAACTGTGGGGACCAAAGGGAGAGAACCTGAACTCCACAAGAGGAGGCACATAACCAAATGTTCGAATGATCATAAATTGAGACATTATTGGCCCAGTAAATTTCTTGCTTAATGTTTTTCCAAGTTCTGATTTGAATATTTCATATTAAAGTTACCTTATGTGGGTATTTTATTTTGAAAGGTATTATAGTTTGTATATTTAACAGTAAGGGGGAAAATGTAACCAAAATTAGTATTCTTTCTCTATACATATTGGTACTTGAAGATTCCTTTCAAAAGAAACCCAGCCTTTCCCTAATTTTAGTACTTAATTCCTCATTTTAACTTAAGTGAACTTTCTAATTCAAAAGCTGTGTTCTTTTTTGAATACTGTGCATGGGGGTTAAGCTGATGTTAAAAACCGTTTGCAATAAAAAGAATCAGCTTAAGTCATTTAATCATTTCAAGTGCATTCTGCATCCTTTAAAGATAAGTTTGAGAAATTTAAGAGAATTGTGTTTTCATTAAGTTTTGCATATCTTTTGTTATGCCATGTAAATTCCCTTTTTCGTATGATTAAAGGAAAGTTATGATAAAATGATTAGTTCATTTACATTCATTGTAGCAATTACATGAGAATTTGAATTTTGTCGTGTTTGGGTTTGTTCATTCCTGTGAATGATGGTACAGTTAGGTGAGATTTTCTGTTATGGTACCCAAACTCACCATTTGGTCCTCTTTAATCTTTGAGGGTTTCAATAAAAATTGTTCACGCATTTCTGTGGTTTTTTTTTTCCATTTTATCTTTATATATAAATATATATTGCCTGCCAAAAAACTGTTTTGCTCACTGTATTATGGATTTCCTGATTGACTTATCTTTCAAGTACAGATAGATTACATCACTTGTTCTAGCTGGCCATTTAAATTAAGTAGGAGAACTAAAGAGAGGGCGGATAACAGTTTATCCTAATCTTTATCCATCCCAATGAGCTTACTGCTTTACATGTCTTAGTACTAAACTTAGATCAAAAGAGAAAGAGCCAGTGTGTTTATTTTTGCATAGCAGGAGCAAGGAGTGGAGCAGCCTTCCTGATCCCTCAGTCTTGGTACCAAGGAGCGCTTTTCTTTTCTTCTTTTTTGCTATAGGTTGCATGTGCTTCCCAGACAGAGACAGAGACAGAAAGCGAGAAATCACCCCCCAGGTGGGGATGGCCATGCCGCCTTCCATTCTCCTCTTGGGAATCTTGGGCACACATGCATATGTGCCTGGCATGAGTTTTACGCCACCGGGTCTGGGCCTCAAACCATGGTCGACTACATGGGAGTCCAGCGACATATCTATTACGCTAACGGCTGGTCCCAGGAGTGCTTTTCTAACAGTCTGTACAGTGCCTCTTGGGGTCAGTATAACTTTTGTGGTTAGTATGACAGTGAGTATGGATGTTGTATTGACCATTGCTGAGCTCTCAAAAGTATTTATTCCAATGGGAGAAACTAAAGGATTTGTTTTGTGCTGTCAAAGCCAGTAGAACACATACAACACAGCTGGCCCATGTCCTGGGCACCGCCTTTAAGAACCATCTGGTTGCCCCACATGTGGCATCATCAGAAGTCTATCTCCTAAAGGGAGGATTTATGTCTCTGCATACCTGGAAGCCAGTTCATTGTATTTGGGACCTAAGTCTTCTAGGCTTACCTTTATCTTGGTTTTAGTGATTGGTGGGAAAGTCATGATGTGTGTGTGTGTGTTTTAAACGCAAAAGTGTGTAATGATTTTCCCAGCAACCCAGTAGATTTAGTAGCTCTAGGAACTAAAATGTTCTTACAGTCCAAAGTAAACTGACAGGTTCAAGTTTATCTTCTTTGCTTTCTACTGTTAGTACTTAACCAGTGCATAATCTCGATGTTTTCTTTCCTCATTTCTTTTGGTGTGATAGAAACAACTCTTCCAGTATTTCACTGATGCATGGTAGTGGAATTTTAAATACAGTTTATTGGGACTGGCAGGTGGCATGGTGGTTAAAGGTGCTGGATTCCCACATGGCTGACATCAGTTCGAGTCCTGGACCTGGCGACTTGCTTTTCTCGCTTTCCCTTTCTCTCTGTCTCTGTCTCTGTCTGGTCAAATTAAAAAATAGTAACAAATGGAATTAAATAAATGATTCTTTAAAAAAATGAAAGTACAATTTATTTATAAGTAGTATACCACTCAGAATTTATGTGCTCTATAATTTCAGTTATCTATACTATATTTGGACTAAATGCAAATAAAAAAATGTTTTTTTTTAAAACTTACTGTGCAACTCTGTGAGTACAGAGTTATTAACATTGGAAGGTTCCCAATCCTTTCCTGCCACTCTACTTGCCCATCCATAAAACACATTTAAAGATTTAGATATTAGGGGGACCAGCAAGTGGCATGGTGATTATGGTGTTGGACACTCCCATATGGCCAACCATGGTTTGATTCCCAGTCCTGGTGGCTTGCTTTCTCACTTTCCCGCTCGCTCTCTCTCTGGTCAAATTAAAATGAATAAATGAATGAATAAATAAAATTTAAAAAGATTTAGATATTAGAATGCCACTTTAAAAGTATCAGATGTTTTTCTAAGACATATCTGTAAACCGAACAGAATTACAGTTTAGGAGAAGATTCAGATTTGTTGGAAGACTGGACTTCCAGTTATTTCTAACTGGTAGATTGACACTGAGCAAACAATTGCTTTGTTAATCCTTGTTAATCAAATCAGGAGGGTGGGGTAGAATATATCCAAGGTTCTTTGCAGCTCTAAAAATTTATGATTTTAAATAGCTTTGTAGACTGATTTATTGTAGCCATGATGAACGTTCTTCAAAGTAAGTTTGGAAACCAATGGAATTAGTTTAGGTATTTCTTAGTTTTTGCTATAGGATGCATACGCCCTATTGAGAGAGGGGGAGAGAGAGGAGGAAAGTGAGAAATCACCCCCCAGAGGGAATGTCCGTGCCATAGTCTCTTCTCTCCTGTTGACTTGGGATTTAGGATACACACTACAGGCTCCTGGTGTGTTTTTTAAGCCTCTGGGCTCAGGATTTGAACCACATAGTTGGCTATGTGGGATATAGCCACCTTAACCTCTGTGCCACTTGCTAGCTCAGAAACTAATATGATTAATTTTTTCATAGGGTGCGTGTGCTTGCCAAAGACAGAAAAAGAGAACTCACCCTCTGTGGGGAGGGGGTGGTCACGCCGTAATCCCTTCTCCATTCTCTGGATTTTGGGTACCAAGCACATGTGCCTGGTGTGAGTTTCAAGCAGCTGGGTTCAGGACTCGAACCATGGTCTGCCATGTGAGAGTCCAGCGCTTTAACCATTAGGGCACTTGCTAGTCCCACCAGTATGATTTTTTAAATAGTAATCCTTTGTTTATATTATTTAGAGTATATGAGTACCCCTAAAATGTTGCCAAATTTGACTACTACTGTCAGTGAATTTTGAAGTCTAGTGATAACAAAAATCCCCATTTTACTCATAGTGTTAGTAAAGACAAGCAACAGAGTATACAATTTGTAAGAAATCTGAGTTACTTCCTTCTGGCATTTTATGTTATTTTAAAAAGACAATTTTTTTATAACAGGCTTTAGAAAAAATGGGAAAGACTGTATAGAGAATCCTTATATCTGCTCTCAGCTTCCCCTGTTACTACCATTTTGCAAATTTATATATTATCCTCAACTGAAATGGAAACTTTTTCAGGGATTTTTTTTTTTTTAAAGAAAATTTTTCTTTGTTTTAAACGTCTTGCATGAGTGAGAGACTAGAAGACAGCATCCCAACAGGGTGGACATGGATCCACACCCAGCCTCAGCTCCAGCCAGCCTCAGTCATAGGATCGCAGTTCTAAGTATCCCTGCTATACTCGGGTCTCTGGTTATGAACCTGGAACCTTCCACCTGGGTCAGAGTCACATTTCATCACTGTCACTGTCTGGACCCCCAAATGTCCTTAATTTTAACCTAATGTCCTTTTTCTGATCCAGGAGCCCATGAAGGATGCCACGTTACTTTTAGTTGTCGGGTTCTTCCAGTTTGTTTTTGATGACCTTGATAAATGCTGGTTAGTACTGATTAGATAGTGTACGAAGACTCCTTTGGAACTGGATGTTTTCTTAGACTGGGATTATGACCTTTGGGGAAGAACACATAAGTGCCATTTCTATCACATCATGTCAAGGATACACGCTACCGACATACATCGTTGCTGATGTTGACCAAGATTGCCTGGCTGAGGTATTTGTAGGTTTGTCCACTTTACAATTGTTCCTTTTTTCTCCCGTTTGTATAATGTACTTTTGGGAAACAAGTCAGAGGCCATACTTGAGTGGGCAATTACACTTTTTCCTTTTTCCCTCTTTTAGGTTTTTGCCATAGGACATAATGCATTTACTGGAAAGAGACAGAAAGTGAGAAATCACCCCCGAAGAGGGATGACCATGCCTCAGTGCCTTCTTTGTTCTCCTTTTGGGATTTTGGGCATGCACACACAGGCACCAGGCATGATATTCAAGCTGCCAGGTCCAAGACTTGAACCACAGTCAGCTGTGTGGGAGTCCAACACCTCAGCCACCACACAAACCGCTGGCCCCCATCCTTGTATTTTTAAGTGGAAATATAGGACTTAATTGTGTTACTATTTATCCTTAACCTGCAGGCTTGTGTGCCAATACATTTTCCTTTTTTTTTTTTTTTTTTTTAAGAACTCCTCTCTCCTCTCTTCTACTTGCACCTCATTTTCTTTTTCCTTTCTTTAAAAAAAAAAAAAAAATTTGCTATAGGTCACACACATATGCTCGCTTGAGAGACTTGAGACAGGGAAAGTGAGAAGGAATCCGCCAGGAGCGATGACCACACCACAATATAATCCCCATTCCTCTCGAGATCTTGGGCATGCACACACGAGTCCAGCGTGTTTTTAAGCTGCAGGGTCTAGGACTAGAACGGCACAGTTTGGGAACTGGTCACCTGAACTACTATGCCATCTGGTTGGCCCTACTTTTCCCTCATTTTCAGCAGTTGGATATTGGCAGAATTCTAGTGGAGACTGACAAAGAACCCTTCAATTAATTCTAATCTATATAGGGGAGCATTCTAATACAAGATTGAAGATGTAGGAAGAAAGAACTCAGGTAATGGGAAAAAGAATAACCTCATCTATAGGTAGGAACTGGTAGTCATTCAGGTTTGGAAGAGGAAAACTTGAGATAAAAAGTACATAATATTATTATTAGAATCGTTCATTCCTGGGACCAGCAGATGGTGTAATGACTACATCATTGGACTCCCATGTAGTCGACCATGGTTCGAGTCCTGGACCTGGTGGCTTAAACTCATGCCAGGCGCATATGTGTGTGTGCCTAAGATCCCAAGAGGAGAACAGAGGAGAAGGGATTGTGACATGGCCATCCCTCCTGGGGGGTGATTTCTCCCTTTTTGTCTCTCTGGCGAGTACATGTGCCCTATAGCAAAAACCTTTTGCATTTGGTTCATTCCTTCAAAAAGAAGGAAAGATTATTTAAAATACCTTAGTGTCTAATTTTTTGATGGAGTTCTTTTGAAATGATGTTGAGCTTGCCATTTAACACATAGTCCAAGAGCTTGGAATTCACAGGATGATGGGCCTGTTCTGCAGTTCTTGGTCCACTAGTTGACCATATTTTCTGGTCACTTAAATAATGAAAGAATGATAATAGAATGAATTTATTTCAGAAGGTTTAAATGTAATCATCATGTGTTT